TACATATACATTGCCGGTCTTTATCTTCTGGACTAACTTTTTTTAAAATGATTACATATAAAGAAAGATTATGTCTAGGACGACCTTTGTTTTTTCGAATCATAATTCAAAAAAATTTAAAAGAATGAAAATAAAATAAAAGTAAATCCAAAAAAATAAAATGAGAAAACAAAAAAAAACGAGAATAGAAAAAAAAGATTATCAACAATAATCAATTTTTCAATAAATAAAATTAATTTCTAATTTTGGATTTTGGACTGTCCAAAACAAGTTTTGGACTAGTCCAAAATCCAATTGGATAGTCCTAAATTAATTTTGGACTTGTCCAAAACCCATAAATTTATTGGACAATTTTGGATAATTTTGGACAAGTCCAAAATTGTCCAAAATTGTCCAATTTGATTAACTAATTGGACACGTCCAAAACCCATCACTGTTCTATAAGCAATTAATTTTACAAGACTTCTATTTCTCTGTTCATTAAGATTAACTATTTTATTTTATTTGAATATATTTGTATATTTATATAAAAAGTTCATTTTATTATGTTATCATCTTCATTTTTTCCTTAAATGTTTTTCTGTATTAAAATTCTTTTTGCATACAATAATCATTGAGAAAAAGTATAACTTCTTACTATAATATAAAACATTTATCAAACGAAGATCATTTGATTTTTTTTAATCAGTTTTTAACTAATTATTATCATTTTTATTTCAATTTTATTAAAATTCTCTAATATAATTTTGTATATATTCTATTGAATTGATTTCATTAAAAATAATTATATCATTTATGTTTTATTCTTTGAATAATTTTATAAAATCGGAAGAAAGAAAGAAAAAATTTTGATCAGTAATCTATTTAATAAACTTTTTATAATATTTACTTATAATGTCAATTATATTATATAATTTACATGATCATTAAAAAATAAAATAAAATTTTTTTTTTTTTTACAAGTTTTTAAATATTTTGGTTAAATAAAACAGACTTTAAATATTTTGGTAAATAAAATTATATAAATTAAATTTATAAAGATAAATACAAATTGAAATTTTTAGTTATTCTAAGAATCTAAAGAATCAAAAAAAAAAAAAAAAAATGAAAAATATTAATTATTATTATTATTACAAGTGTATATATTATTATATTATAATTTTGAATGAATGAGATCATTGTCTTTAAAAGTGTTTTAATTATTGAATATACAAGAAAATTTATTAATTTCTTTGATAAGTCCACGATATTGCAAATCTTGCTCAGTAAAAATAACTATTAAGATCAAATAAAAGGTATTATTAGCCTTGAAAGGTATTTCTAACCGAGCAAGAAATGGTTAAACTAGAAGAGTTGTTTGGTCAAAACTTGCCTGTTATTCTATGCATTTTAAATGACAGATATGATCATGATCATGCGGCAATAACTTATTAAATTTCCAAACCTAAAAAATATAAAACATAAAGAGGGGGATTGTTTTTTAATTAAAATATAAACGAAAAAATTAAAATAAAATTAAAATACATACTATATAATTAAGAGTGGCAAAACCTTAGAAAAGTTGATGTTCCATTAAGTATATACTAATCTATTAAGAAGCAGACTAACAATGTACCAAGAAAAAAAAAGAAAAGGAAACGGAGTTTTTGTTTATTTTTAATCATATAATCAAACAAATCTTAATCCAAGGCAATTTCTGATAACAAAATTTCAAAGTCACAGCATAGGCTGCGAGAAGCATCACTTTGATTTATTAAAATACATAATTGATGTCCTCTCGTCTTGATTTTGAAATGGTAAGAGTGGTAAAATATATCTTCAATTCGCCACTTACGAGATTTTTCTTGAAGTTGTACTTCTGCTGCGGAAATCTTATCTTCCAATTCACGAATCGCCCGTCCTATTGCGATTTTGGTTGCTGCAACTTCGCGAATATGTTGAATGGTTATTGCGTCACGTCTATCCCTTTCGTTGGAAAGATCAACGAGTTTCTGTCTTTTGCGATTACGCTCTTCTTCAAGGATTTGGTGACGCAAATCTTCAATTTGGCACTTTCGTGCCTTTTCTTGGATCTTTGCGAGTTCTCGCTGGACCTTTTCGCTACGCTCTTTCTCTTTAACCTGGCGGCGAAGTTCGTTGTACGATAAGCCATCCTTTTTGCGTCGGAGAGTATGTTTCCGGACCTGTAACGGTACTGACAACTCTTCGAAAGCGTCGAATTCTTCTTCGCTTTCATCATCGTCATAATCTTCCTTATCAGAGGGAATATTGCCTTTTTCTTTCCGTGATTTACGGGTATCCGATTCGGAAGGTTTGATCCGATTTTTTTCCTCTTGGACTTTCTGTCGGGCTACTTTTTTAGTTTCTTGAAGATCGTCATCCAACTCGCGAAGACGTTTTAGGCGTGTCTAACAAAAACAAAAAACAAAAAAACAAACAAATATATATTATATTTCAATTATAAACTGAAAAATCATATGTTTACCTTATCTTGGCGGCTTTGTTGTTTGACCATTTTCTTAGCTACCATCGCGTCGTAAGAACTACGTGCCTCTTCATATTCGCGAAGTCGCTCTTCGCGCGATTCCGAAGGCTCTTTCGGAAAATATTCGGGATGTTCAAGCCTGAACAAACGTTCAGCGGGGGTATCGAGTTTCACTACTGAGTCGAGTTCGCCAAGAACCGTAGCAACTGAATGAGCACGGTTCGCATCGAAGATTGCCATGCGATATTTTCGTCGTCGCGAAAGTTCCGCAGATTCACGGTCAATCATCTTCTTTATCGCGAACTTTTTAAAGGCAACCTTTCGCTTGAAAGCTTGCTCCCGTCGATGTGTCTCTCGTTGAAATTGAAAAGGAGCTGAAGGTGGAGGGCCTAACACCTGATCGCGTAAATCGCAAACCGTCGTAAATCTAATTAACATGATTAATATTATCGAATATTAAAATTTAGTTTTAAAAAATAAATAAATAGATAAATTAATTAATTAAATTCCAATATAAAAATACCGAAAGGCCTGATCAAGTTCATCCACTGCATCGGTATCCGTTGTTTCTATTAAAGTGTTTTCATCGATGCTGGCCGCAATAGTTTCTTCTTCATAGTTAACGGAGGAAATTACAGGAGAATTCTCATTCGATTTTGATATCAATGCATCGGGAACGAAAGAAATTTCGTCAAACGAACTTTGGACCTCTTTCGCATTTACGATGTCGGCGTAACGAGGACTGGGTGGGATGCAATCTAATTCGGCTGTCGAATCGTTTTCAAGTTTCAATCCAAAATTGTTGTTAACTTTCTCTGTGTCCTCTAAAACTCCTTGCAAGATTTCATGAACAACTTGAGGTTCGACCTGGAATTCGAATGGTGCATCGGTTTCAGATATTGATACAGATTCTCGGCGTTTTGCTTTATGATCAACTTTGAATCCGTCATGAAAATAGTCCCACGCTCGACTTCGTCCTGTTTCACTTAAAGTTGCTTCATTTAATGCGTCAGAAATTGCATCCTGCACTTGAGCGTAAAGTCTCGTCGTATCAACAAAATCTTTCACTCTTGTTCCTAATTGTTCTAATTCTTGAGTGTGACTATTTTCTGTCTTTGACTTATGAGACTATCAAAATTTAAGAAAACTTCGTGTTAAAAAAGAAATAATTTTCACACACACATATATATCGACTTACTTGTTGACTTTGAAGCGAACGCGTTCCGAATCGAACGGCACGTTGACGTTTCCTTTCATTTTCAGTGAGGTTACTTATTTGTGCAGCTATTAAAAGATAATAATCATTTTAGAATTAAGCAAATATAATTATATAATAACAAAATAAAAATCAACAATGTACCTTGCTCTACAGCAAAATCTGATAGTGGGCTCACTTTAGAAGTACTTTCTTGTCCTATGCTATTGTCATTTTCTGACGGCGTCGCCCCGAACCGAATGGCTCGTCTACGTTTCCTTTCATCTTCATCCGAGACTGTAAAGTTTTTTCCTATTATTAAAAAGGTCGAACTTTAAATTATAACAAATCTGGCATAAAATAATTTAATGAAACAACTAAAAAAGATGGAACTTACCTGACTTTTTTATGGCTTCGTCATCCGACATTCCTGTTTTCGGGGAGTCTATTAAATAATAAATTGAACGAAGCAGTATTGTTAGTAATCGACAATGTAACGCCATAAAGAGAAAAAAAGCACACCTGGCAAGGGCTTAGCATTGTCCACCACATCGGGGGACCACACAACAGCCCTTTTCGGACCTTGTTTTCTTGTTCCGCCAAGTAAAGATCGCAACATAGTATTTATGTCTTAATTTAAATTAAAATATTCTATTTAATGCAAGCATCCAAAGGTATTTTTTTCGTAGAAATTCGTTGAAAATACAACGTAAAATAAGGAAAGTACAAAACATCACTCTCGTCGAACACATTGTTGATTACGAGTCGTGTAGAGTAAAATATGGTATTCAACATATTCATTGCTTCAACTCAAATAAAATATCATACCTTTCTTGAAAGCTTGTTTGTAAATTGGAAGTCCACAATTAATTGAATGGTTTTTTACAGTATTTTGATAAAATAAAATGACGAACCAAATCTTCGGTAATCCTCATCCGAAATTAACAGACAAAAAGTTTGAACCCGTCAGCCGGTCCGGAAACTTATTAAAATCTGTTTTTTGGATGGTTATATTTACACAATACAATGCTCGTTTTACTCCCGTCCTAAATTTTGGCCTCGAAAAACTTTCTTGGAACCTCTAAACGCGTCAGCGCTTGATAAATTAGTGTGATACTTTTGAAAATGGATTGTGTAATTTGAAAAGAATTGTTTCGTCTTAGATTGTTTTAAAGGCTTTCATTTCAAGATTCAAGAATAATAATTGAACAATGTGAATTAACGGAACAAATTATCTTGACCACGTATAAACATGTCAAGCTTGGAGGTCAAAGTAACAGATTTCGTGGTCTTGTCTCTTCCGTCTCAAAAGATTATATTCGGTCAAGTATCAGTTCCAACACGAGATACACGATATCGTTGGTATTGAAACTTTCTGTGCTAGTTAACACACTTTAATACATACCATGATAAATAACTTTGTACAGTTTAACGACAATGACACTTTCTAGTTTATTTTAACGCTTTAATTTTCAAGATTTTAATAAAATATAAATCTTTAACCGTAGTTAGTAGTATACTAAGATCAAATCTTAATTTGTTGTTGATATAGAATTTCCATTCATGGTATTATTTTGTTGAATAGTTTTAATTTTATTTTATTATTATTATTTTTTTTTTTAAAAAAAAAAATCTCTACTTTGATCGTATATACCTTCCAACAACAAGAGCATGATCACGTTCATATGGTTCAAGAGTAAGTTGTTCCAAAGGTTTTATGTGTTCTTCTTGCAGTTTCTTAACCTCCCTTGCAAAAACTGTAGATGCTTCTACTGTAGAATCAATACAATTTGCTTTGATAGATATAACAATATATGCATTATTCTTTAAGAAATGATGCGCATTTAGTGCTATAATACGCGCTTGATCGGGTTGTGCAACATCAGCAAAAATAACATCCACCATATTAACTAACATTCTATATTTATGCGGATGTCGAGCATCTTCGATGATAGGTATAACATTTGTACGTTTTTTCGCCACATTAATGAGATCACGTCCCGATCGATGAGAAAATTCAACGGCATATACTACACCCTCCTACACAATAGAATTATTTATTGGAAAAAGGTTTTAAAAAGATAATAAAAAAAAAAAAAAATCAAACATACCGGGCCAACTATATCTGCTACGTGCGATACTGTAGTTCCCGAAGCGGCACCAAGGTACAACACTTTTTTACCGGGTGCAATGTAAATATGATCGATACCACCAAGTATACCTGCAGCCAACTTTGATCGGAATGGATTCCAAACCCGATATTCGATTTTAACACTATCAGATCCTTCTACCGTAATCCTCTTTTCTCCATAAACAGATTCACCGCTTACAAGATTTTTTGTGACAAGAAGATCTTCTTTACCACGAGCAATAAAGACACCTTTAAAAAAAAACAGTTTCATTAGTAAGTTATATTAGTAAAAAAAAAAAAAAATTTAATAAAATACCTAGATGTCTGTGTGGTTCAATTATGACTTTAGAACCACCCTTAGCTCCGCCTCTAAAACTTGGTTTACCACCTCTTCCACCGCGACTTCCTCCGCGAGCACCTCTTCCTCCGACACCACGGCCACTACCACCACGCTCACCACGCTTTCCTACACCTAATTAGATAAATCAATACTAATTCAGTTAATTAGCTCTTTAGGAATTATTCATATATTATAAATATATTTACCACCGCGGCCGGCTGAATTACCTGAAAAACCTATTATAATCCATTTCAAAGTTATTAACGATATAATGATCGAATTCGTATATTTGTTAAAAAAATCATTTACCTCCACGTCCACCTACACCACGACGTCCACCACGACCTCCACCGCGGCCGCCGCCACCGCGTCCTCCTCCACTGTTTTGTCCTATTAATTATGATTGGTAGACATTAAACTATTAAATGTAAAAATTTTATTTGTTGATTACTGGTTGTGGTAAAATAACTTACTAAATGCCATTTTCAAAAAGTACAAATTACAAGTAAAAAAAATTGCACGACAAAAAAGATTTTTTTTTGTTTTCCCACGTGATTTCACGCATTTATTTGATAAAATTTTTACTGGTGACATATAAGGATGTTCACTAATTTTCGAAAAGTCCTATTTGTCTTCCATATTCATCATATTCATCACGTAGTTAATGTAAAAAAATCACGTAGTCGAGCTTTCTGATGGATCTGTGTTGAAAAAATTTTTTTTTGATAATCAGGAAACTTTTTTTTAAATCAAAATGGGTTCGAAGCGAAAAAAGAAGAAACAGTCTCAAACTATTTACAAAGAATCAAACAACGATGAACAGAAATCATCAAATGACCCTCAACGAATTAATGAGTCTGTATCAATTTTAAATAGTAGCAATGACGAAGAAACTAAATTACCGCCGTTAGAAGAACTTTCCAATACAAGCTTTAAAATTCTTCCAATTGAAATGTCTTCACCCATCACCACTTCTTTTACTTCAATTCATTATTGTTACTTTAAAAGTCACGAGTCACGTTCTAATAATTCTTCAATTAATATCTTACCTCCCGATAAAACTCTTTTTATTTCAAATTTACCAATTGATTCAACAGAAGCACATATTAAATATTTATTTCAAGATTGTGGAGTAATAGATAGAATCATATTCAACGGAGTTATTAAAGATGATGAATTTTTAATAAATGCAGTTAATGAAAATAGAAATTTTTTGGTACCAGATTCTTCTGCTCATGTTATTTTTCAAAAATCTGAAGGATTAAAACAAGCATTACATATGACAAAGAAAAAGAGAATATGGACTACTAAAAATGAAGAAATTCCGTCACTAGGATTATCTAGTAATAATAATATTATTATTGTTGACCGTTTCATTATTAATAATAACATATACCGATAACTTTATTTATGCTTTTGATATGAGTAGGATGGTTGCGTGATTATCGATTACATCGTCCAGTTCAAATAAAACTTCAAGAAGCAGTTGATGAATATATAGTTAATTTTGAAGAAGCTGAATTAGAACGACGTAAAGATTTAGAAGCAAAACTTAATCAACCAGACGAGGATGGATTTATCACGGTAACAAGAGTTGGAAGACGTAATGTTAATACGGATGGTACAATAACTGTAACGGCAGCTAAAGCAGAAGAAATTAAGAATTTGAAACCAAAGAATAAGGAATTAACGGACTTTTATCGATTCCAAATGCGTGAAGCGAAACGAAACAGTAAATATCTCATTTATCGTAAGATATATATAAATATATATTTTTTAATACTTTATTTTCATTTTCTAGAACTCATCGACCTTCGCAAAAAGTTCGAAGAAGATAAAGAAAAGATCGCTAAACTAAAAGCTTCAAGACGATTTAAACCATATTAATTTTGTTTTTTATTTAGTGGGTTGATAATTTATATATCCGTATGTTAGAGGGCCATGATTATTCTTCCCCACATTATACAACAAACTTTTCGTACGCTAGATATATTAATATAGTGAAAGATTTTTGCTAGCGTATGATTATAATGGAAAAAAATCTTTATTATGATTAAGTTTCTTGTTTGAATCCTACATGGAAATATATTTTTCTTAATTATCAATTACCTAATTCTCAATCAAATATTTTCTTTCCCTGTTCTATTTTATATATCATTCCGGTAACTGGATTATTTAAAAATAAGAATCGATTTAATGAACAAGAAGATTAATTTGACCAGTTTATAATTTTGATTACTTGCCTACATGACCGTTGTAAATAAAGAGATTATTGATGGGTAATTCCCTACGTGATAACGCATTCAGAATATCCTGAGCTAATAAACCTCCCATGATAGCACAAACGGGTGATAATTCAGCTCGTGCATTCAAGGAGAGCATTCTGGAATATCACGATGATCATTAAATAAATATAAAGTTCTTAAATCTTTTTTGATGAAGTAATAAGTTAAAATATTTTTAAAAGGACGTACACAAGGAATTCATCAGAGATAGTTGACACTTTGATTCCGTTCGAGGTTATTAATGAATCTCTCAGTGATTTTAATTTTCTTATATCATCTTCGTTATTTATGGGTAATCTATTTTCTTCTTGTTGAAATTTCCATAAGACTATATAATAATATATAAGGATAATGTGACACTATTGATTTAGGGAGCGAGAGAACAAATGATCGAAGCGTATATTAAAAGTATTAAAGAACTTACTTAGCACTCCCCAAAGCACATAAGAAACTTTTTTTAGTTTCTTCTCAGGAATTTGATTCCAATCATTTTTTGATAAAGCAGCTTCTAAACTCACATATTCCTCACATTTCATTATCCGCTCTATTTCAGGTTCGTCCTTATTTGGTTTTGGAGTTTTTCTCACCCTAAACAGTTAATTTCAGATAATTTTAGTTTACGTAAGCAAATATAAAAAAAAAAGACGGAAAAAGCATAAAAAAGTTACTTAACTGTATATATTCGTGTTTGTTTAGATCGCAAAATATAAACCCAAAGAAACCATACGTGCAGGCCGCATAGAATTTTTTATTGTGTTCTCGACAAAACCGATCTATGCGAATCTATTTATGAAATTTTTAAGTGAAGCCATGTTAATGTGTTTAATAAGATACATTGTGTATTACCTGATGATGATGAAAAATGCCCAAGGATCTAGTCCTACCATAGTGTCAAGGTCACTGTCTGTGAGACAGATTAAATCAAAGTTCATGAAAAATTCCTCAGGTTTCTCGCGTATATCATTCGTATCAGTTTTCACGACTACACGAGGGTTCAGATGTCGAACACGATCAGCTGAAGCCAATGCCCTCTTGATAAAAAATGTGACCCTAAATAAGAAAATACTGCGCCGCATGTATGTAAAAGACTTAACAGATCATATCTGCCTTACATTCTTTCCAACGTCTTGCTCGGTTATTAGGAATTGTGCCCCCAAATCTTCTATGGCTACGACGTTATGGTCAATGATCGTAATAGAACCAACACCGGCCAATACGAGGTTCTTGCATATTTCATTACTTAATCCTCTTATTCCACTTATAAGAATGGATGAATTACGCATTCTTTCATAATTATATTAAAAAAAAAAAAAAAAGTTCGAAACAATAAATAATCAAATACCACTTCTATAATTATAATTAAAATAAGTTTCAAATAAAATTTACTGTTGTTGAGCTTCCAAACCCCATAGTCTTATCTGTCTATCATACAAAGCAGCTTCATCTATCAGTAAAAGCAAAAAAAAAAAAAAAGATATTTATATAAATTATGATATAAAATAACAAACAAATAAAAACAAATATTAATTATCTGAACCTTCGGTTATATGAGAGGGCTGTGAGTCCATTTAGAATGTAATAAGGAAAAAAAAGAAATTTTTATATCGTCTAGAATTTAAACTTTAGAGCTATTAACCAAAATGGAATGAATAATCGAATGGAAGATCCAGACGTGTTATTTATAACGGTTTTTGGATAGATGATTGGACATTTAATATCTAAACGAGTGCAACATGCAATTTACTTGATCTCCTAAAAAAGGAAACGGACGGGCGACACATTTTAATATCACTTAAAAACTTTTCACTAAATTAGGCAGTGAAACAATTTTGAAATAATAACTTTTTTTGAATGATTCTTTTGACCTTTTCGTGCTTGCGAAATAACTTGTCGATGGTGTTGTCTTACCTCCGCATTCTCCATTAACCTTTTTTTTTGGTTTCATAAAACACTTTGGATAAGATTCATAAGAAATCACACTTCTTCTTGTGCGTTTTCTTTTTGTTTCTTCCCTTTTTTTTTCTAACTCGCATCCATAACCTTTGACTAGCATTTCCCCACTTTTCGACTAGTTTATATTACAAAACCAAGCATTTATTTTAGTCAAAGGAATCTTTGATTTTTTTATCATATATAATAATACATTCTTTTTATCCATTATATATATATTTAATTATATGTATATATCACCTTTTTCTTTGTAAAGTTGTTAGCATTTCTCGTCATAAAAGAAATACGGTCAATATTGCAATAAATAATAAAAGATGAAGTTTTCAATATCACAAATACAATTAAATATGCTCATTGGGTTAGTATGGATAGCAGTGATATTCATAAATATACCACATATAACTGCGCAAAGTGAGTTGATATTTGAATTATATCATTAAATTTATCATTTAAATAAGTTATTAATATTCAAATTATTTATTAGAAACAGAAACATCCCCAAATAATAATAGTTCAGACAAATGCATACCTTGCAATAAGATTGAGATAAAATGCCCTACATGTCCTGAAGGTGAAAAATGTATCCTGACCTTACGGTCATGTTCTGAATGTCAAAAGGCAAAATGTGTCAAATTATCATCAAACGAATTACAAGTTAATGATAACAACAATGAAGACAAAAATGGCAATAAAACTTTATTACCAGCTGTTATTGGTGGTATCCTTGGGGTCGGGCTCTTAACTGCAATAGGTTATGGTTATTTTGCATTGAAACGAAGGACACGAAATGATCGAGGTGTTAAATTAGATAATAACGAAGAGATGATTTCAATAGACGGAGAAAATGTTATTCCAATTGCATATATACCATCAACCAATCCATCAACACCAACCACTCCATCAACACTAACCACTCCTAAACCGAAACCAACTTTTCCAAGGTTACGAGCGTCACATGTTAGTTGTGGAACTTCCCCTCTAGCTAGCCCTATACCTTTTAACCTTAATGATGAATCATTAATTGATGTTACAGAGGATGATGATTTAGTTTCAGATGTTGGTACAATTTTGCAAGCGACAAAAACAGCGCCCACAGCTACTCTAATGACGGCAACGCGGGCTAAACCGGCACTTGTTCGACTTAATACTGTAAGATTACCAAATACTGATACGAGTTCAGCACAAACTGCGCGACATGGAAATAGCATTCCTAATACGCCAAAATCTCCCATGAATGATAATACTTACTTAAGTGCACCGTCATTATCATCTGTACCAAGCAGTCCAACTTCAAATTTTTCAAGATATGATTCTGAAACTGAACAGATAATGCCTTGTATAGATATCGAAAGAGCATCAGCAGAATCAACTCGTGATGCAAGTCAGAGATCAACATCACAACATCTTAATTCACGACATTCATTCGGGCTATTTGGTAGCAGTGAGGTGTATAGTAACGACTCGTCTCCACCTCAGTTACAGCGAGAGAGTATATTGAGTTCTACTAGTTCTAATGGTAGAAGTACATTGTTTTCAGATGATGGAGATGGTGAAATCACAATCTTTTGGGGAGGAAATGAGCCTCCTTTTGTAATTGCAACAGGAGAAGAAGGTCAAATTCAAGTTCAAGAACCTAAAGATCACGTAGATTCAACCGATAAATATCAAAATGAGGAAACAATAACAAAGGAAACAATATAAAAAAGGCAATAAATAATTATATTTTAATCCCATATTTATTAAATCGTGAAAATTACTTTACATGTTAATAGTTTATTCTAATTAGCAGAAATTGTATAGTTTTATATATGTGTGTGAGAGGAGAGGGTTGGTTAAAGAATGATGTTTGGGAGTTAAAGGTAGTATATATATTTTTGAGAGAAAGTGTTCATCTTATGTATAGTAGGCTTGTTTTTTTTTTTTTTTTTTAAAAAAAAAAAAAGGTTTAGATAGGGCTAGCGGGTTCTAGTGCTTTCTTTTTTATTATATCCCCTAGTATTCTTAAAATATAATTCGTTTTGATGATTTTGTGGATTGATTTGGAGTCGATTAGAATTATTCATACTAGTTTTCTCTCTCAGAGCAAATTTCAATTATACCATATAAATGCATTCCCTACTCCTCTTATATACATATTCTTTAATTCACTTCTTATATTCTATTTTCTTATTTTCTATTTCTTCATATTTCTTAGTTAAAAATATTTTAGTTCTTGTTTCTGTTTTTTTTACCGTTCATTGAATTTGCATCATTTTTATCGTTCATTGAATTGCATCCATTTTTTGCATATACATATAGCATATATGAAAAGTCCCTCGATTTTTTTTTTTTCGCTTTTTTTTTTTCTTTTTTTTTTTTTTTTTTTTTGAATTTAACAAAGATTTAACATAGTATTGTAATTGTTTAATTTCTCGAAAATAAACATTAAAAAAGGTTATAGAAATTGTGTTTTAAAAATCTATATAATATTTAAGTAAAAATAATTTCATTAAATTTGTTTATTGATATATCCTTTTAAATTCATAATATTAAATTCTGAGCAAAGCTAAGAATAATATAATTTATTTAAATCTAATTATATAAATCTATTTACTAATTCTTAAAAAGAATAAAATTATAAATAATTAAATAATTATAAATTCAGTATCTATCTTTATATAATTATATCATATATAATCATATTTCACTTATTTTGCAGAAAAGATTATATACAATAGGATCATTGCAATAGAAAAGGAGAAAATGGTTAAAAAAAAATGAGTTGATGTTAAATCTGAACATATTTTTACCTAAAAATCATATTTAGTATATAAAATGAAAATTGCATATTATTATTAAATTATCCTCATATTAAATATGAATTTTATTACATAAAATTTTTAATATAAAAATCATTTTTATTATAATTAAACTTCTAGTAATCATAATTTTTATTGTTATATTATAATAATTAGCTAATATAATAAATTTCCTTTTATTATATTTAATTAATAAATATATTTAATTTATATGATATATTTAATTAGATGTAAATTATAAATTTGAATAATCCATTTTTAAATAATTTTTTTACTTTTTTCTTTTAAAAAAAAAAAAATAAATTTATTAAAATATTTAGACTTATATAATTATATAATTATTTAAATATTATTTAACTTATTTTTATAAAATTTAGCTATAAATAAAATTTTTTATTTTAATTATTTTTTTTAAATATTTTTAATTTTATTTTCTAAAAATTTAATTATAAAGGTAAGCAAAAAAATTTTAGATTCTCGTAATCCATCTATCTTAGTTTTTTAAATTCACAAATTTTTTATAATAAAATATTTTATTATATGATTTTATGTAATATAAATTATTATAACATATACTTTATTTATATATAATAAATTTTAATATTATTTTTACAATTTTTTTATTATTTAAAACTTGATATCTTTATCACATTTTTTTTTACTTTAAAACTGTTATATTAAAATTATTACAATTTTCATTTTATCTAATTTTATATAACTAAATATGTTACATAATATTTTTCATAATATTTTTCTTATAATTCTAACTTTAATTTATAAACTACAATATTTTTTTAAAAATAATATATATAATAATTATTATAATTTTTTTTAAAGAAAAAGAAATTGTAAGAAATTTATAGATTGATTTAACAATCTTAAATATAAAAAAAAACTGAGTAGTTGTATTAAATTTTTATAAGAATCTAAAAAATTTTTGATTAATCTAATATTATAAAGATTTAAATAATATACTTAAAAATTTTGAATATTTAAATATTTAATATTATTATAATTTAATTATTAATTTATATTAATATAATACATTTAACCATATAAATTTATAAATAAACAAAAATTTAAATTATTAATTATTTGATAAAATAGTAAAATAAATAATTAATTTTAAATATTAATTTTATTAAAAATAATTTAAAATATTAAAAAAAAAAACTAATTAATATTTGAATAATATAATTAAAAATAAAAGTATTTTAATAAATTAATAAATTAATATTTATAATAAATTTTTATACTTTATATAAAATAAATATTTTTTTGAATTATAACTGATATAATATAATGATATAATTTAACATAATTATTTATTTTATTAATAATAATTATGATTGATATATTTATTATTGATTATGATTAAAGATTGCACATTAACTAGTTACAACTCTATAGTGATTATTTATTACAGGTTGCAATTATTTGCAACTTAATTTTTAATAATATTACAATTAGTTGTAATTATATAATACTTATCTATTATTAATTGCAATTAATTACTACATATATTTAGTCATGATATAATATTTATTATTATATAAAGAAATATAAAATTTTAAATAAACTTTTAATAAATTTTAAAAAATTTTATTTAAAAATTTATTTTTTAATTTTTATAATTTGTAATTACTTAATAAATATATAATCAAATTATATAAAATTATATATTTCTTATAAAAACAGTTAAATTATTAAATTTCATATATTTTATTTTCAAAAATATAAAAATATCTATTATAATAGTTTTAATAAAATTATTTTAATTAATTAAACTTATATTTTTTGTAATTATTAAATAATAAATTGTTTTAAAATTTATAAATTAAAAAATATATTATTGATAATTTTTTAAATACTTAACTTTAAAGTATTTTATTTCAAATTTGTACTAATATATTTCAAAGTAATATAAAACTTAATTAAAACTCCTAAGATTTTATCAATTATAATTAAAGATCTATGCAATTACATTAATTATACTTGTTTAAAAGCTATTATTTATCATTTAGTATATAGTTTATTTTATCAGATTTAATTTTAAAATCTGCTTAACTAAATAAACTTCTATTAGACTTAACTATCAAAATTAAATAAAATACATGCTTTAGTCATAATTATTATGATCACTATTTTTTACTAATCTAATTTATAGATTTATCCTATTAATAACTATTGAGATTTTAAGATTAGATTCTTTATATAAATGATAATTTAGTATCTATAATATTTAAAGTCGTTTAAGAATTAAACTTGACTTCTAATTCTATTGATTATGTAATTTATCTTAAAACTGTAATATGTAATATAGTCAATTATTTTTAAAATACTTAAGATTCAGTAATTATTGGCTAATTACTTTCTTACAAGATAAAGGTTTTTATTATTTAAAGATGTAAGACAGTATCTATTAAAATTTATTAGCAAAAACTAAATTTCTGTTTGATTATTAATAATTACTAATTTTAAAAATTTTAAAAATTTAAATAGTTTTATACTTATTATTTAAAAAATAATATTTACCTTTTTAATTTTAATATAATATTTAAAAATATAACAAATTTTATTTATTTTTTAAAAAGCTTAAAATTATGATTTATTATTAATTATTTAATGATTTTTTTTATTAATAAAAAAAAATTAAATTAATATATTGATATTGAAAGAAAAATTATATTAATTTAAAATTAAAATTTAAAAAAAAATTATAATAACTTTGAAATGATTAAATTTTAAATAAATATAACTTAATTAAATAATTTTTTAATATTTATCTAAAAATGAAAAATTATTTTATAAATTTATTTTATAATATAAAATAAATAATAATTAAAAATTTATAATTTTTAATGATTTATTATTAAAAAGTAAAAAAAAAAAATTTTAATATAAATTTTTAAATTAAAAATTAAATAAAATAATTTATATATATATATATATATATATATTTAATTTAGTTGATTATTAAATATTATATAAAATTATTTATCTAAATTATTAAAATAAAAAATATATATTCTTATAATTTTGAATAAATATAATATTACCATTAATTATTTAATAAAAAAATTATTTTTTAAAATTATTGTATTAAAAAAAATTTGGTTTAATAAAGTATGAAAAAGTGATTTTTAGTGATTTTTAGTAAAATAATATTAATAAAAAAAAAAATTTGATAATCTTATACTGATTATTATATAATTTATAAAATGAATTTTAAGAATCTTAATATAAGCATAATATTAATAATGCGTAATTTAGCTGATGATAATATAACTAATGAATTAGGTAGTTTTTTTTTTAATAAAAATATTAATAAATTTAAATATTTGAATAATAGGTAAGTTATATTTATTAGAAAAGATGCTAATAAGATTAATAAACTTTTTAAGGATTGAAAATCTGACAAATAAGTATAATTAGTTGTAAAAAAAAAAACTAGACACGTTTCTTTTTATCAGCTTTTTAACTTCAACATTATATTTAATGTATATTGCATGATATATTAAAAAAATTGATTTTCGAGTTAATATTTCTTTTCAATTTAGAAAATTTTTATTAAATTTTATATATTATTAACGAGAAAGATAAATAAATTAATATGTTGTGACATATAATACAATGATGAAATGTTAATCTACGAGTCTATGTACAAGCGTAAAAATTAAAGGCCCTTTCTTTTCATCGCTGTCGAAAAGAATCATTATGGTCATCCGATAATGATTTGTGTTTTTACTTATTGATCGGAAAATCCATATAATTTCAGCGATTAGAGCGACATTCTTTCACTAATTTAAAAAAGTAATCAGTTAATTACTGAATAATTTGAGTAGCTGTGAAAGAAATATTAACGTATATAAATGCATTACAACTAATTAGATAAAGGCATGTGATTAAGAGATCAGAGAACCTTGTCTCATCAAGACATAAATCGTTCTGACGGCAATTCCTATCGTTAATAATATTCAGTGTGTTTTCGTCATTTCCTCGCTCAACTTTACAAGTTGAAAATTTCACATGCCAAGATGTAAAATAAATTTTGAAATCATAAAAAAACTAACCCCGGTTTATTTTAGTGATTCTTTGACGTTTTTGAAATCATAAGAGAATAACTCTTCCGAATCAGCGGTGTGTATATTAGGTCCATCGATGATTACCTAAAGGAATATTATTCAAATCGGTTAATATTAGATAAATTCTCGTCATAAAATAATTAAAAAAATTATTAAGAGATATCAGACATCCAAGGAAGAATTGTTTGCCATCATAAGGAATTACCCTTTCGGTGGAAACTGCGAATCAAACGGTACTTTATCATCATATATCTCTAATACTACTCAAGAAACTTAAATTTCAACTCACCAAATATTTTATTGCAAGTATGCTCGAAGTTTGAATTAAATAACGAACAAAAACCTATACATATAATAACACATCCAAATATTAGAACATCAAACAATGTATAATTGTTTATAACATTTAAATTTGTTATGTCAGATATGGTACTGGCTAAAGTAAATCTTTCAAGTCTCCTCATGGTCGATAAGATGGGGAAAGAATAATAATATCATCATTCAAGGAAGTTAAATCCTCGATAAAGAAAAAAAAAATTTTAAATACCTTTGTTCGATGTAAATTGATGAATGATGAATGGAATGAATGAATGGATGAATGAATGAAAATGATGGATGGATGGATGGAATGAAAAGGATGGAAGATGATGGATGAGGTTTTTATGATTAAATTTTTTTTTTTTTAATAGATCTTGTGGTACCATAAAAAAATTTCCCGCATATTGCGCAGTAATAAAATTATTGGTTTATTTAGTTTTATGGAAAGTCACGTGAATTCATTCTTCCGGGTAAAAATGACTTTAAAATGGTGGTGGGTCAGAACCTCTTTTAAGAAAGAGTTATATTCCATAATATTTATTAATTAATGTTAGATGGCGTATTACCTAATAAATAGAATGAAATGATCAATCGCATTGGTTTATTAAAAGGTTGAAAAATTCTTGCTTATGATATTTATTTTCAGCCAAAAAAATAAGCAGGCGTTTGTTACCAGTATCTATTAGCAAATGTTTTACGAAAATAAGTGTCATTTTTTTTGTAAGGCCACAACTACCTTAAAAAAAACGCACATCCACTTCAAATAAAGTAATTTTTCACTTTCAAACTCGACAAAAGTTCAAAAAGAAAATGGGGTATAAATTCACGAGAGAATGGTTTACCCGGCATATTCCAAGGTGGGATGAGACTTTACATGACCTTAAGAACAAAAAAATAAATGTTTTAGAAATCGGAGTTTTCGAAGGGAGATCGACTATTTGGATTTTAGAAGAATTATTTAAAAATCCCGAGTCAAAGTTGATATCTGTCGATACTTTTGAAAGGATATTCGCAGACAATGATAACGAAACAACTTTTCGTGAAAATATCAGAGAGTCAAAAAAGGCAAATCAAATTGAAATTATTAAAGATAAATCTTTTAATGTTCTCGTCAAGATGAATTACGAAAAAGGAATGAAATTTGATTTCATCTACATCGATGGTTCTCATGTTTCTTGTGATGTATTATCTGATGCTGTATTATCATGGAATTTGCTAAGAGAAGGTGGAATTATGATATTTGATGATTATGAGTGGGATTTTTTTGAAGAAGAAACCAATAATCCAAGAATAGCGATCGATTCATTCTTAAGGTGTTATCAAACTCAAATTGAGGTAATTTATAAACGTTACCAAGTTGCTATTAAAAAAGTAATGAAGAAAATTACTAAAACTATTAGGGAAGATAAAACTCTTTATTAATCATATAATTTGAAACATAAAATAAATTGATATTAAGAAATTGACGAATAAAAAGTGACAAATATGATTTCGCACTCCGAAAAAAATTCAAATACTTATGAAAATGGAAAACGCGAAGGTTAACTATGTAAATTGAAACTATATCAAATTACCTAGAACTTTATATAGTTAAATATTTAGAGTTTAAATTTGATAAATGAAGTTTTCATAATAAATTACTATAAATAAATATGCATTTTTTTTAGATATACAGATCGAACAACCTTTTCTTTCTCAAACTTTTTCAAATTTATAAACCATATTAACAAAGTTACAAAGCCTTTAATTCCATTTACTAGTAAGTTATCTTGCAATTTTAATTTTAAGTAATTTTTTTCTATTTGAGAACTTTTTTAGAAATTTTATTATTAATGTAAGAATGGCCTTGTAACTTTGTTAATAAAGTCATATACTTAATATTAATATACTTTTTACTCAAAATGAAGAATCATTAAAGTTACACGTCTAATTAAATGAGTACTTTGCAATAGAAAAGGCAGAAATTACCAAAAAAGTTTTTTTTACTTTATAAGCTAAATATGTTTTTTTAGTAAAATAAGTTCAGATTTAACATTAATTTAAAAAAATTTTTTATAGTTTCTGCCCTTTCTATTGCAAAGGGCCCAAATATAATATAATGAGTATTCACAAATCATATAAACATCATTTTTAATTAAAGAAATATAATAAAATTTGATAAGAAAAGCAAAAATAAAATAATTTAATAAAAGAAATAACTGAACATCTTTGAAAATTGGGTTTTATTAAGTAGACTCAAATCTTTAATTACTATTATGCAATTTATTATTTTTTCAACTATAATTTTATTCATCTGGAAAAATTCCTCTGATTCAAATCAGAGATGTCAAAATCATTATTTGATCTACTGTCGGGAATGGTTCCAGAGATTGTACTACAATACAGTTTTATTTATTATCATATAACATATACTATATACAAGTTAAAAATATAAGCCCTTAAGCAAAACTTTATTGTTATTAATTTGATTGGCTTATTAAACATTAATATCAAATTTAGATTTTATCAATTACGTAATCAGTTTCATTTTCAAATATTCTAAAGACTGACCTAGGATGGATATTAGCAAGAATATGAGATTATCTTTATATGGCCGAATTTAGGATAAAGCTTTCACTTATCAAGTTGAAATTCCAATGATGATTATTTATAATTCCACCTGATACTCAGTCTATTAATTATTAAATTTTTACAACAGTCTAGATTAACAATAATAAACAAACTTTTAATCATTATTTATATCATATACATCATTATATTCATTACATATATATAAAAATATATTTTAACTGTATTAAAAACCATGTTTCACTTTTTCTCTTCTAATTACACATATATAAAAATATATTTCTTTTTATCTTAACTGTGTTCCACTTTTTCTCTTCTATCTAATTACAAGTATATTTCATTTTTCTTTTGTCTAAAACTGAATCTTTTAAAATACTTGAAATGGATATTTCTTATGATCTAACTTCTTTTGATGTTCTAATCACAGACATTGATATAAAAGATCTTTGTGAAGTAATTTCAAATAAACTTAATATAAAGTATCTCTCAGACTTAAATCAAGAATATGACAGTAATGTAGATGGAATTATTCATAGTCGACTTTTTTGACTTATTTGTACTTTGATACTTTATAGTTGATATATATTCACTAACTACATATCTTTCTGATAATGTATTATCTGCATTTGGCCTAACTATTTCTAATCCAGATGATTTCATTAATACAAGAATCAATAATAAAGATACAGCTGTTATGATATCACCATCAGGTTCACACTTCAGGGAAAAAATCTTCTTGGATCAGAATTTATAAAATATTCAGAAGCAATATTAGTTATTATATACCGTGATAACCATTTTACTCTGAGGTTTTAAAATCAGTGCTTCTATTATACAATCTGAACTTGATATTGAAGATAACTAATAAACTATTAAAAGAAAACGGAAAAAGAAAGAAATGATATAGAAATATCAATTATTTTATAATTCTATAATATCTGTCCAATATCTTTTATTTATCTTTATACTGCAATGTTGTATTTTTTACTTGTAAAACTGCTTAAATAAAAAAATATATATATATAATATATATTCTCTTTTAGAAAGCAATTTTTGTAGAACATCTTTTACATGAAAAGCTTATTGCTGTAGTGTTTCATGAGGTCTAATAATAGATAAATAATTGTATTGCTTTTCTATTTTAACTACTTTTTCATAACGATAGTTATCAGTTTGAGGTCAACAGTTAAAAACATATTCCATATCATATCTAGAATGGAAATTAATAGGTTTAGATACAGTTTTATTATAAATCTTATCTAATATGATCTTAATTATATCACTGAGCATATTTGATGATTATATGTGATTATGTGCAATAAATAAAACTTTATAGGAATTTTAACAATTTATAACGTTTTAGAAAATTATAGTAATTTTTTAGCAACTTATATTAGATAATATCACCATTCAAATTTATACGGATTTACTGGATTAAGAGATTTTAGTGATTAATTAATTTATAACTAATTTGTGAAACTATATACTGTTAAACCCAAATTTATTTTATTTAATTATTCAAAGAACTTCAGGGTAAAAAACAGATTCATAATTTTTCTGATATTATGATTTTGTTAAATTAGACCTGATTACTATAGATGGCTAAATTATGCATAGCGCTTTCAACTAAAATTTGTATCACATATATTCTCTCGATAGTTCTAAAAGAGTTCTAGAAGCTAGCGAGTTTCTATAAATCATGAGATGATTGGCCAATCAGATTTTACCTTTATTAATCTATTGATATGATAGCTAAGCTACCATTATTATTCATAGGAATAACGTTTTTTTCATTAATATAGAATAGCAAATAGTTTAATAAATTTTATATTTTTATAACTTGTAAAGTATACATATATTTAAAAATTCAAAGTAAAATTTTTATTTATCATTACATAATATAGCTGATCTATTAAGTAAAAAATAATAAAAAAAAGTAGAATAATAAATCGAAAGACTGAAAGAATATAATGATTGAAATAAATGATGCTATTAAAGAAAAAGGGAGTTTTCAGATTTTAAGCTATAAATGAGAGTTTTAGCATCAAGTTATTTCACAATATTATTTTCACTGATACTTTCTCTAATGCTACTGCTATTATTACTATTGTTACTACTGCTACTATCAGAAAAACTAACTGATTTCTTATTTCCCTTCTTTTCAATCTATTAAATAATTTTATCTATAGAAATTCTTTTTAACAATTTTTGATATTGATAAAACTAGTTAATATGCTAGTGCTAAGACTAATTTTGATTAATAAAATATTGTATAATTACATTAAAAAATGATCTTCTCTTTTCCTTCTGTTATTAAAAAGGGCTGTAAACTCAATCCAGTATGTTTTATATTCATCTATATATTCAGAATATTATCTCATAAAAATATAACTTGAGAAAGAGAATCGATTAGATTTTATTAAAAAAAATAAGGCGTAGTAAGATACAAATAAATATATACATAACATTATATTTTTTTCTAATGCACGATCTACTTTGAAATGCTGTATCATTTCTTCATTCAGCTTCTATATGCATTTTTTGAAGCTTATTACTTAATGTTAAGATGGTTCTTTCAAGATTATTATCTCGCAATCTCATAGATATTTGTGAAAAAGAAAATAGTAATGGTAAAAAATAAATAAATGCTTATATTTTCTAAAAAAAATGCCTTGAATCATTTCTATAGTTAGGATACTATGGTTTAGCATCTCGTAAAATAAAATTGTAATGCCAAAAATTGTGATTAAGAAAATATCTGAGTTTGAGAACATTTTTTTAAATAGATTTTTATTTTATTAGTTTTATGTGAAATTGATATTTTTTACTTGTTAGAGAAAAAGAAATACTAAAATGCTTTTCTAGAAATATTTTTTTATATATTTTACAATCACCTAGTAAAATTAAATACCTATATATACTAGCATAAAGAATCCATATAAAAATATAGATCTGAAATAATTATAAAATGTTATTATAATTTTACCCAGTCCCTTTAAAATTCCTCTATTTCTGAAAAAAAAGAGATCCTGTCCAGAATCTGTACTTAAAGATGAAAAAAGTTAGTACATTCCTATATTTCTTATTCCAATAACATGTTTTAAATAATGAATAAAATAATAATAATAATATTATTATTTTTTCTAAAAGCTTAGCCGTAAAAAAGTAGAGTAAGTTTTTTTTATTAATAAATTTCATTAATATTCATTACAAAGATATAAGGCTAAAAAAAATATAAAGAATAAAAATAAATTATATTATAGAATATATGCTGTATTATTTGTGATCTTGTTCTAATTCTTAAATTTTAGTTCGTTTATGATATAGTTTTACACAAAAAAAACCTTCATTGATTAGATAAAAAAATAAAGATAATGGTAATAATTGAAATAATAGCAGGTTATTTATAAAAAAATCACAGTCAGATCAAATTAATCATTCTAAGAATAGATATATCAGGAGTATTTGCATAAATTTTACCTTAATTTAGGAGACGTAAAAGAAATCTAACTCCTTAAGTAATCATACTTTGGCTTATATAAAGTATACAGATCTATAGAAAATTATATTACTTGCTTTTCTTCCACTTATATTTTAAAATAACTGTGGTTAGCATATTATAATGATGTAATTATCTCACATGTTTAGATAAAAAATTTTATATGACATTCTGACTATTGGTTAGCAACTTTTGGCAAGAAAAAATTTTTTATTAATACATGCGAAAAAAAATAAATACAAATATTCAGAATTTTGCTTGTAATACGTAATATTTATACTATTATTTTTTGATAATTTTTTTGATTCTAGTCCTTTTGCTAAACAGAAAACTATCTACACTAACCTGATTCTTT